AGAGCTACCCCAAAGACCTTTCCATTCCCACCCTAGAAACGCCTCACCAGCCGCCTTGCATTTTACCACATTGGCTCTTTCTGGGGATAGGCTCACACACAAAGGTGTTACCTGCTGGTTGTGGCTTTTGGTGCAAAACCCCACACTTCCTCTGCAAAGGTTTGGCTTCCGTAGGAATGTGCGCATTTCTGTGCCAAAGCTCTTGAGTATCTCTTTCTTCCCCTGCACTACGTTTCCCAAAGGGCTTTGGCCTCCCTGAGCTTTGCAGAATGGTGGAAAATCCCCTAAAAGTGACTCAAAGTGTTTGTCAGAGTGAGAAAAGAGGAAGAGGTTCTGCCCAAGGCTTCGGCTTTTGAGCGCAGCTCTGCAGATCTCGAGAACGGCAGAGAGGATGCGGAAATGGCTTTCTGTCCGTCTAACTTGAGCAGGCGCAACTCCCCTTTGATGTCCTTGCCCTCTCTGGTGCCCTGTTGTTCACCTGAGGCTGAGCGGTCTCACCTGTGGGCACCACTCTTGGGCATCTGCCTCCCCCACCATTCTGCCCCGCAGCCAACAGAAAAGCCAAAGTATTGTCGAAAGCTTTCATGGCCGGAATCACTGGGTTGTTGTAGGTATTTTTGGGCTATATGGCCATGTTCTAGAGGCATTCTCTCCTGACGTTTCGCCTGAATCTATGGCAAACATCCTCAGAGGTTGTGAGGTCTGTTGGAACTAGGAAAATTGGGTTTATATATCTGTGGAATGGCCAGGGTGGGACAAAGGACTCTTGTCTGTTGGAGGCAGGTGTGAAGGTTTCAACTGACCACCTTGAGTAGCATTTGATGGCCTGGCAGTTGTTTGGTGTGGTTTGTTTGTGCCTGGGGCAATCTTTTGTTGAGAGAAAAGTCAAAGGTACCACTAATATATATTTTGATGTCACATTTGAGACTTTTGTTTAGTTTCTCTGCTGCCGCCGCCAAGGTACACCTTACAGGTAGACCTGTAGCAGCAAAGATACAGAATGGGGGACAATGCCTGGCTCGAGAGCAGGACGTGTGAAAAAGATCTTGGAGTCCTCGTGGACAACAAGTTAAACATGAGCCAGGAATGTGATGTGGCGGCAAAACAAGCCAATGGGATTTTGGCCTGCATCAAGAGGAGCATAGTGATCAGGGGTCCACAAACTTTTTAAACAGAGGGCCAGGTCATAGACCCTCAAACTGTTGGAGGGCCAGATTATAATTTGAAAAAAAAAAATGAATTCCTATGCACAGTGCACGTATCTTATTTGTAGTGTAAAACACTTTAGAACAATATAATAATTAAAATGAAGAACAATTTTAACAAATATTAACTTATTGGTATTTCATTGGGAAGTGTGGGCCTGCTTTTGGCTGATGAGATAGCCAAAAGATTTAGGCTGACCCTGAGCGAGGGCCAGGTAAATGACCTTGGAGGGCCATATTCGGCCCAGGGCCGTAGTTTGAGGACCCCTGGTCTAGATCCAGGGAAGTCATGCTCCCCATGCTCTATTCCGCTTTGGTTAGACCACACCTGGAATCATATTGTATCCAATTCTGGGCATCACAATTCAAGAGAAATATTGACAAGCTGGAATGCGTCCAGAGGAGGGCGACTAAAATGATTAAGGGTCTGGAGAACAAGTCCTATGAGGAGTGGCTTAAGGAGCTGGGCATGTTTAGCCTGAAGAAGAGAAGGATGAGAGGAGACATGATGGCCATGTATAAATATGTGAGAGGAAGCCACAGGGAGGAGGAGGGAGCAAGCTTGTTTTCTGCTTCCCTGGAGACTAGGACGCAATGGAAGAATGGCTTCAAACTACAAGAGAGGAGATTCCATCTGAACATGAGGAAGAACTTCCTGACTGTGAGAGCCGTTCAGCAGTGGAACTCTCTGCCCCGGAGGGAGTGTGGTGGAGGCTCCTTCTTTGGAAGCTTTTAAACAGAGGCTGGATGGCCATCTGTCAGGGGTGCTTTGAATGCAATATTCCTGCTTCTTGGCAGAATGGGGTTGGACTGGATGGCCCATGAGGTCTCTTCCAACTCTTTGATTCTATGATTCTATGAATAATAATAATAATAATAATAATAATAATAATAATACTTTATTTCTACCCCGCTACCATCTCCCCAAGGGACTCGGTGCGGCTTACATGAGGCCGAGCCCACAATACAGCAATAATAAAAACGATAACAATAAGTAATACAAAACAATAAAAATAAAACTCATAACAGAAAATAAGCAATAAACATTAACAGTAACACAACGACGTTTAAAAACCTATGGCTGGGCCAAATGTAATAATTAAAATTTAAAAATAATGCTGAGCATAAACAGGTGAAATATGACTAGGATAGAGTTTTCAGAGGAGGATGGGCGTGCAGACACTCCTAGATCAATAATAAAGTGCATTTAAGGACATATTGCTGGGAGTTTCCTTATTCTGGGAAGGCACACTGGAACAACCACGTTTTCAGGCTCCTCCTAAAGACTGCCAGAGTTGGGGCATGCCTGATGTCCTTGGGGAGTGAGTTCCAGAGTCGAGGGGCCACCACCGAGAAGGCCCTCTCCCTCGTCCCCACCAATCGTGCCTGTGATGGAGGTGGGAGTGTGTGCAGGGCCTCCCCAGATGATCGAAGACCTGCAGCCTTTGGGGCAGCAGTCATGCTTTGGTCAGGCCTCACTTGCAATAGCAACTCTGGGTCCAGTTCTGGCCACCAAAATCTAGGACCAAATGGAAGGTGTCCAGAGGAGGGCCATCAAAACGGCCCACGGTTTTGAAACTATGTCTTTTGGGGAGCTAAGCATGTTTGGCTCGGAGAAAAGGAAGCCTGTGAGAAGGGGACATGAGAGGAGCCACGTTGAAACATGTTAAATGATGTTTCTTTGAGGGCAAGCTTGTTTCCTCCAGAGATACAACAGATGCAAATTGTCATTTAAACATTAGGGAGTCCTGAGAGCTGTTTGGCAGAGGAATCCTTGAAGTCTCCTTCTCTGGAGGTTTTCAGTCTGTAGGGAGTGTTTTGATTGTGCTGTTCCTGCCTGGCAGAAAGGGGGTTGGACTGGATGGCCTTTGGGGCCCACTCCCAACTGCATGGGACCTTTTCCTTCCCTTGTTCCTCCTCCCGCATTCCTGAGCAGCCTTCTTCCTGGGGAGGAGGCCTGCCGCCTGTCTGCCCCGCAGGCAGGGATCCTCCTCCTCCTCGTCCTCCTCCCAAATGCTGGGCTCCTTCTTTGGCAGTGGCGGCACTCCTCTTCCGGCTGCCGTGGGAGGAGGCGGTGGCCTGGCCCGTGGCTCTGGGTTCTGCTCTGCGTCATCCCTCTCTGGCTCCCTTTTTCTGTGCCTGGGAGGCACCAAAACAGACTCGGCCTGCCTTTGCTCCCTTCGCTCGCTCGCTGCCTGGCTCCTTTTTGCCGCCTTAGAAACCCACCAGAAGCAGCAGCCCAGGAGAGTCTTGACCAGTGGTTCAGACTACCAATGGGCCACGAGGATGAAAATCTGGTCCACGAGCCTCCTTCCTCTTTATATATTTTATTTCTGCTCCTTTTGCACAGCCTGGTACTCCTTCCCCGTTGCTGACCATGGCATACAATGTATGTTCTGTATCAGAAACCAGAGCTGATGTGGTCTATCCAATGCAAATTTCTGAATCAGCACCCCAAACCGAATCTAAAGTTGACCAAAAACTGATTCGTAACACTTTTAGTACTAATGTTGGAGAGTGGTCCCTGGTCAAAGTGGTCCCTGGTCAAAGTGGTCCCTGGTCAAAGTGGTCCCTGGTCAAGTGGTCCCTGGTCAAAGAGGTCCCTGGTCAACGTGGTCCCTGATCAATGTGGTCCCTGGTCAAAGTGGTCCCTGGTCAAGCGGTCCCTGGTCAAAGAGGTCCCTTGTCAAAGTGGTCCCTGATCAACGTGGTCCCTGATCAATGTGGTCCCTGGTCAAGAGGTCCCTGGTCAAAGTGGTCCTTAGTCAAAGTGGTCCCTGGTCAAAAAAAGGTTGGGAACCACTGGTTTGTTTGTTTGTTTGTTTATTTATTTATTTTCGGTATTTCTACCCCACCTCTTCTCTACCCCTTGGGGTCCACTAAGACTCCTAGATCCCGTCCACATGCCAGACGTCACCCATCATCCTATATCTCTGTGTTTCAGTTTCTTTCTTCCAAAGTGAAGCACGGTGCACCTCTCCTTGTTGAAAAGCATTTTGTGAGTTTTGGCCAATCTGCTCTCTCATCTGTTAGGGTCATTTTGGACTGTGATCCTCTTCTCTGGGGTAGTCCCAATTCAGGGTCACCTGTGCACCTGATCCACATGCCGTCTCATGCAATCATAGAACCATAGAATCATAGTGTTGGAAGAAACCCTAGGGGCCGTCCAGTCCAGTCCCTATTGTGCCATACAGGGAAAGCACAATTAAAGTATCTCTGACAGATGGCCATCCAGCCTCTGTTTAAAAGCTTCCAAGGAAGGAGCTTCTACCTGTCTTTGAAGCAGAGAGTTCCGCTGTTGAACAACTCTTCTGGTCAGGAAGAACACTGACTTGGCTGGATAGTAAATGTTTGGAATGTCTTTTTTCCCCCTTCCCAAAGATAGTGACAAGATTCTTTTCTTTCATTGGAATCCTTCCTCCCTCCCTCCCTGCCTGAACTGTGCCTTGACCTCCCTGCCCCTTTGCTTTGGAGCTTCTGGCTTATTGGGCAGGAAGTCCAGCTCAGCGGATGGAGCGTGCATATGTTTGCACAGCCACACACTCATCTCAGGCAGGAGCCAAGCAAGCAGGGTCTTGCTTCCTGGCACACTGAGTGTCCACTGCATTTGGGCTCTGGCAGCAAGAGGGGTCGGTGAGCGCAGGGGGCAAAGGGCAGGAGAGTGTCCATGCGCTTTGCCCGGGAAGCTTTGATGCAGAGGAGCCGCTTGCTCTGGGCTCTGGCCCAGCTGAACCGCTGTGTGCAGCTCTCTTGCACAACTTCCTGCGCCGCTTCCTCCCTTGCAGCCGCCCTCAGAGAGAGGCCAAGGCCTGCAGAGGAAGTTGGCTTGGAGTCTTTGGGGAGAACAACCCAGAGCCAAAGGTCGCAAGGTCAGATAATATTTCTGGCTGAGAAGGGGGAGCCTATGCTGAGCCCAAAAGAGGGGCCTGCAAGGGGCAGGGGTCACTTAGCCTTTTTCTTCCTCTTTCCAAATTCTACACATTATAACATAACTAGGGGTGTATAAAGCCACCAATGAACAATAGTAATGAGTTGCTGTGAGTTTTCTGGGCTGTCTGTCCATGTGCCAGCAGCATTCTCTCCTGAAGGTTTGCCTGCATCTGTGGCCAATGACATCTTCAGAGGTTCTGTTGGCAGTGAGGCAAGTGGAGTATGTATGTATGTGTGTGTATGTATGTGTGTGTGTGTATGTATGTATATATATGCATATGTGTATATGTGTGTGTATACACACACACATATAACACACCCACACACATATATACATACACCAGGGTTCTTCCTCCCAGGGTGGGAGGAAGAACCCTGGTCTATTTGAAGCAAGTTTGGATGTTGCAATTAGCAAGCTTCAATTAGCATTAGAGAAGCCTTGCAGCTGGCAATCAGTGGGGTATCTGCATAGAGGTAGCCTGGCCTGTGTTACCTGGAGGCACCTTCTGTTTGGGAGGTGTTAACTGGCCCTTGATTGTTAGCTATCTGGAGTTCTCCTCTTTTAAAGAAGGGTTGTGAATGTTGCAATTAGCAAGTTTGAATAGCATTGAGTAGCCGTGATGCTGCTATGCTGCAGATATGCTGGAGATATGATAGCCATGTATAAATATGTGAGAGGAAGCCACAGGGAGGAGGGAGCAAGCTTGTTTTCTGCTTCCTTGGAGATTAGGACGCAATGGAACAATGGCTTCAAACTACAAGAGAGGAGATTCCATCTGAACATTAGGAAGAACTTCCTGACTGTGAGAGCCGTTCAGCAGTGGAACTCTCTGCCCCGGAGTGTGGTGGAGGCTCCTTCTTTGGAAGCTTTTAAGCAGAGGCTGGATGGCCATCTGTCAGGGGTGATTTGAATGCAATATTCCTGCTTCTTGGCAGAATGGGGTTGGACTGGATGGCCCAGGAGGTCTCTTCCAACTCTTTGATTCTATGATTCTATGATTCTATGCTGCAAAGTCTATCAGTGAGGGTATCTATCATAGTTCCACCTTGTCTCCTGTGCTATTCTAATAATATAATATAATATAATATTGTATAAACATATAATATTTATAATATCATAATGTAATGCAATATAATACTACTACTACTACTAATAATAATAATAATATGATATTATAATTATATATTTATATTACATGTAATATTACTAATAATATTACAATATAGTTGGTATAGTATAATATAGCAATATTTAAAACTGATATTGTACTACGCTAATAATATAATATATTGTATGTATATATATATCTTGTAAGCTGCTCTGAGTCCCCTTCTGGGTGAGAAGGGTGGCATAGCAATGTCGTAAATAAATAAATAAATAAATAATAGAGGTAGTGAAGCAAGTGGAGTGTCTCTATACCTGTGGAATAATGTTCAGGATAGGATGAAGAACCCAATAGCAAGCAATTGCATGCTTCAATTAGCATTTGAGAAGCCTTGCAGCTGCGAAGTCACTCAGTGGCAGTATTTGCATAGAGGTAGCCTGGCCTGTGTTGCCTGGAGGCACTCTCTGTTTGGGAGGTGTTAACTGGCTCTTGATTGCTTGCTGTCTGGAGTTCCCCTGTTTCTGAGTGGTGTTCCTTATTCACTGTCTTGATTCTGGTGGTTTTTTTTTTAATACCAATAACCAGGTTTTGTTAATTTTCATGTTGAAATTGCCCACCTTCTTGTGGATTTCAATGGCTTCTCTATGTAGTCTGGCATGATGGTTGTCAAGAGTGGTCCAGCATTTCTGTGTTCTCAGATAATGTTCTGTGTCCGGGTTGGTTCCTCAGGTGCTCTGCTATGACTGCTCAGGTTGGCTCAGTCTGCAGTGCCTTTCATGTTCCTTGATTCGTGTTTGGGCAAAGCTGCTGCATTTGGGGGTCCCTATGGAGACTTGTCCACAGCTGCATGGTATATGGTAGACTCCTGCAGTGGTTGCACGGTATGAGTCCCCCCAGGGGTGAGAAAGGCGGTATATTAATACTGTAAATAATAAGGTAGACTCCTCCAGGCAACAACAGCCAGGCTACCTCTATGCAGATACCCTCACTGATCGACTTTGCAGCTTCATGGCTACTCTCAGTAATGTTTAAGCTGGCTAATTGCAACATCCACACTTGCTTCAAACAGGCAAGGGTTATTTCTCACACTTTGGACATTATTCCACACGTACCCCACTTGCTTCACTGTCAACAGACTCCTGGTGGTGCCATTAGACACAGATGCAGGCGAAATGTCAGGAGAGAATGCTGCTGGAAATTATTTCGAAAACAGTATTGTTTTATTTCTAAGGGGATGTCACTTAGTGTTCCACCTGCAGATCCTGTCCAAGTGCTGGACAGTTAGGAGAACTGTAGTTTGGTCACCCTGTTTTCGTTTCCTTTCTTTTCCTTTTCTCCTTCCTTCCCTTCCCTCTTCCTTTTCTTCTTCCCTCCCTCTTCCCTTCTTCTTCCCTCTTCCCCTTCCCTTCTTTCTTCCCTTCCCTTTTCCCTTCTTTCTTCCTTTCCTTCCCTTCCCTCTTCCCTTCCCCTTCCTCCTTCCCTTCCCTTCTTTCTTCCCTCTTCCCTTCCCTTCTTTCTTCCCTTCCCTTTTCCCTTCTTTCTTCCCTTTCCTTCCCTTCCCTCTTCCCTTCCCTTCCTCCTTCCCTTCCCTTCTTTCTTCCCTCTTCCCTTCCCTTCCTCTTCCCTTCCCTTTTCTCCCTCTTCCCTTTCCCTTCCCCCTTCTTCCCTTCCTTTTCCCTTCTTCTTCCCTTTCCTCCCTTCCCTTCTCTTCCTTCCCTTCTTCTTCCTTCCTCTTCCCTTCCCTCTTCCCTTCCTCCCTCTTCCCTTCCTTCTTCTTCCCTTCCCTCTTCCCTCCTTTCCCTTCCCTTCTTTTCCCTCTTCCCTTCCTTCTTCCCTTCCCTCTTCCCTTCCTTTCCTTCTTCTTCCCTTCCTTTCCTTCCCCCTTCCCTTCCCTTCCTTCTTCCTATCCCTTCCTTCTTCCCTTCCCTTCCCTCTTCCCTTCCTTCTTCTCTACAATAGCTGCTCAGTTCTGGCTGTGGGCAAATGCTTGACCTTTGCAACTGGACGCGAGACCAGCCCCTCACGGCCCGCTCCCTTTGGCCACACGCTCCTCCCTTCCAGTGGCCAGAGACACTTCCCTTTCCTTGGCACGGCCTCTTTCTCCCAGGGCATTTCTCTCCTTCCTTAAAATTATTTATATCTCAGCCTCCGGCTTTTATTAAAAGCCTCTCTCTCGGAAGTTCACAGCCCAAGTAGAACGCAAGAAGAGGGCCCGGGGAGCCATCTTGAAATTAAGTGGCCCAGGAGGGGGACAAAGTGCATGCCACGCATATATTTCTGGTGGCCGGTTTCAAAAGTGCTTCCTCTGTTGGTGGCATGTTTTCGAGACCGGCATCCTTTTGCGTGTGACACGGTCATTCAATTTTATTAGCAAACGGGAGGTTAACATGGGCATGGGCAACCTTGGGCCCTCCAGGTGTTTTGGACTTAAATTGAAGTCCAAAACACCTGGAGGGCCCAAGTTTGCCCGTGCCTGGCCCATAGTCACCTTCTATGTTATAAATAAAGTGTTGGTGTTGGTGGTTCAGCCTCATAGAATCATAGAAACCTAGAGTTGGAAGAGACCTCATGGGCCATCCAGTCCAACCCCCTGCCAAGAAGCAGGAATATTGCATTCAAATCACCCCTGACAGATGGCCATCCAGCCTCTCTTTCAAAGCTTCCAAAGAAGGAGCCTCCACCACACTCCGGGGCAGAGAGTTCCACTGCTGAACGGCTCTCACAGTCAGGAAGTTCTTCCTCATGTTCAGATGGAATCTCCTCTCTTGTAGTTTGAAGCCATTTTTCAGCATCCTGGTCTCCAGGAGAGCAGAAAACAAGCTTGCTCCTTCCTCCCTATGACATATTCCCCTCACATATCGATCCATGGCCCTCATCATGTCTCCTCTCAGCCTTCTCTTCTGCAGGTCCACATGCCCAGCTTCTTAAGCCGCTCCTCATAGGGCTTGTTCTCCAGACCCTTGATCATTTTAGTCACCCTCCTCTGGACACATTCCAGCTTGTCAATATCTCTCTTGAATTGTGGTGCCCAGAATTGGGCACAATATTCCAGGTGTGGTCTAACCAAAGCAGAATAGTGGGGTAGCATGACTTCCCTAGATCTAGACACTATGCTCCTATTGATGCAGGCCAAAATCCCATTGGCTTTTTTTGCCACCACATCACATTCCTGGCTCATGTTCACCTTCCTCCCCACGAGGACTCCAAGATCTTTTTCACACGTACTGCTCTCGAGCCACACATCGTCCCCCATTCTGTCTCTTTGGGGAGGAAGGGGCCTCTTCTTTCTAGCTGCTCTGTCCCAACTGACCAGTGGTCAGGTCCAGTGGGAGCCAAGCTGCAGAAGCTGGCAGAGATCCTGGGATTTGGGACAAGTCACCCTGGCCGCAGGGACCTGTGCTGGGACCAAGCAATGTTCAAAGTGTTGGCCCAAATTAAAGCCATGCCTCCTCACCTCCATTCTCCAAATGGCCATTTGAGGGTGCAGATGTGGCAGGACTGGCCCTGGAATTTGGGGCAGGGGGGTCTTTTTCCTCTCCCCCCTCCCCTGGCTGCCCTCTAGCCTGCCAAGTGGACTGTGGCCAGTGGATGTCCATCCCAAGCTCATTCTGCTGCATTTCGTGGGGCCTCTCCTTTGGGTGGCTGCAAAGTTGTTTCCACATTGGAAAGAAAACCCGGCTCTGTCCTTTGGCCCTGCCTGCTGTGGGGTCTGGCCAGTGCGGTCAGTGGTGGAGGTCAGGGGTCTGGTGGAGGTTAAGGGTCAGCTATCTATCCCAGCCCTGGGAGGGGCTCCCTTGATTCTTGATTCTGCTTGATTCAAGTGTGCAGATGTG